TCCACCTCAATCGTCTTCACCAGCTCGCCGCTGGCAGTCGTCGACGTGCGCGTTGTCGTCTTCACCGTCTTCGTCACGATGCTGCCGTCGGCCTCCTGCGACTGGAACACCTCCGTTTGCACTGACTCGGTGGGAGTGGCAGCGGTGGTACTGCTTGCAATTGGCTTTTGTGGGGCATCATGGCGTTGGTGGGCGCTCTTGCTTTCCATTTCCGTTGTTGTCTCAGTTTTGATTGATGTCGTTGTATCTCCGTCTGGTTCTTCCGTTTCCGTGGTCGTCTCCACTTCGATCATCGTGATGAGCTGTCCGGTAGCCGATCTCGTCTTGCGTCGTGTCGTCTTGACGGTCTTGGTGACGATGCATCCATCGGGCTCCACCGTACGGAACACCTCCGTCTTAGTGCCTTCCCCTTCGACGGGTGCCTTGCTGGGGTCGTTCGGCTCCGTCTCAGGCTCGTGGGGCGTCTTGACGCCCTTGCTGTTGATCGTCTGCTCGCTCACGGCCTCAAAGTCCGCAACGGGCGCCTTCTCCTCCGTGGACGTGGCCGACGTGTACGTAGTCACGCCACCCTCCACCTTCTTCACCTGCGTCTCCTTCTTGGCCTTCGTCTTGCCGCCGGCCGCTGCTAGTTTTTGCTTGGAATCCATTTCGGCTGACTCAGCTCCGCCCATGACCTTGCTTCGTATTCACACGCGACACTTAACACTCAATACTGGACACACCAAACACGCTGCGCTTGCGCTGTGGCTCGGCCTGCTTCCGCCCGTCCGCACTCGACTTGCTCCCGAGCGCGCAAAAGCGAATATGAGAAGGAGGTATTGCAGGAAGATCGCCATGGAAATCATTTGTCGTATCTTTTTGCAAGGCGTTGATTGGCGAAAAATTACCAAGGACTTTTTCCACATCGAAGCGTGCCATAGAGCAAGTGCAAGCTTGATAGGCTTGTCGGACAAGTTATGCTGGCGGTGTCCGACGGCACCACAATGTTGCTCATTTCACGAGCGTTTATCAGTACCAGAGCACACACGAACCCCTTTACACCTGGCAGTACGGATTCACAGCAATGGGCTCGCTGCCGAGCAAGTACGCAAAGAACTACGCAAAGCTGATCAACGCTGGCCATTCACTTCGGTATAATTCGAAGCCGGGTTCCGAAATAATATAAAATAGCGC